CTACAGTTGAACTGTAGAACTTTCTCCACTGAGACTCCCTATGGATTTGGGGGCAGGACAAAGTGATGACCGAAAGAAACTCGGACATCCACGGGTCACTAGCTCTCATCCTCAGAAGCAATGCCTGCACTGTAATCTCCTATAGCTATGGCATTTCTTTCCTCTTGGCATAATAATCAAGCTGCCAAAGGGAAATGACTGAACGCTCACTTCCCGTTCATTGTTCATTTCTCTACCCCTGCAGTGTGGGCTGTACCCCACCATAGCTACAACTTTGAAAATAGCCTCTTCAAGGCCTTGGGGTGGTCACCTTTGGTATGTATATATTTCAGGCCGTTCATCACCTGCCTTTCTGGAACCTATCAAGACACCTCACTGATTCCCGTTCCACCCTTGCCTATCCTCGGGTATCATTAGCTCTTCTCTACCAGTAAGAAGAAACAAAAATGCAACCCAATCAGATCCAGCTCTGAGACTTTAGGATGGTTCTAAATCCTCCTGTCTGCCATTTTCCTGGCTCGATTTCCTCTTGTATGGGTTTCTTTCTCAGTCTGGCAGTAAGGGAAGTCTGGAGTTATAGTTTATTAAGATGCCATCAGAAGGAAGGTGACATTTTATTTCTAAGAGTTACTCAGAAAAGATGGTTAAGGATTTAACCTGGCTTCCTGCAATACTGTTTTCCTTTTTTGAGACAAGGTCTCACTGTATATCCTTTACTGGCCTTGAACTCGAAAGATTTACCTTCTTCTGTCTCCTGAGTGCTGAGATTAAAGGCATGTGCCATGAAGTTTGACTTCCTCTTTGAAGTCACTTGTTTGAAGATAATTACGGGAACAAACCACGTGCTTCTGAGATTTTTGTTTTGTTTGTTTGTTTGCTTTTATTTCCTGTTGTTTTGAGAGTAAGTTTCACTTAGTAACCCTGGCCTGAATTTGCATCATAAACACAGACATCAGCCGGGCAGTGGTGGCAAACGCCTTTAATCCCAGCACTTGGGAGGCAGAGGCAGGTGGATTTCTGAGTCCAAGGCCAGCCTGGTCTACAGAGTGAGTTCCAGGACAGCCAGGGCTATACAGAGAAACCCTGTCTCAAAAAAACAAAAACAAACAAACAAACAAACAAACAAAATGCACATCTGCCTATGTCTCTTAGGTGCACACACCACCACACCCAGCTTTTTAAAATATTTGTCTTTAAACATTTTAATTTAGATCCCAGCACTTGGGAGACAGAGATTGGCAGATCTTTGAGTTCAAGGCCAGCTCAGTCTACAAAGTTCCTGGACAGCCAGGGCTATACAGAATAACTCTTATCCCAGCACTTGGGAGGTAGAAGCATGAGGATCTCTGAGGGTTTGAGGCCAGCCTGGTCTACATGGTGAGTTCCAGAACAGACAGGGATACATAAAGAGACCCTGACTCAACCAACAAACCAACCAACCAAAACCCCACCAAAACCCCAAATTTGTAATTTATGCCTAGTTCTGTATAAGTGCAGAATATTGTCCTAGGAAATATGTGTATGGCAAGCAATGAGGACAAAATAGTGAATCAATTAAAAGTCACACAGGGGCTGGAGAGATGGCTCAGTGGATAAGAGTACTGACTGTTCTTCTCGAGGTCCTGAGTTCAATTCCCAGCCAACAAATGGTTGCTCACAATCATCTGTAATGAGATCTGATGCTCTCTTCTGGTGTGTCTGAAGATAACCACAATGTACTAACATATATAAAATAAATAAATCTTCTAAAAAGAAAGGTCACTCAGCAAATTATTTTAAATAAAATTTATTTTTAAAACTTTATGACTCCTCCTCATCAAAGAAACTTCTCCTTGCAACTGAGACCATTACAGAAACCCACAACTTATCAAAATGAAGATCTGTGGCGCCCAGACCCAGCTGATACATCAACAACACAACTTCTACACTCGTGGCTCAGGAATCATCATCATGGTGGAAGAAGGGGAGGAAAGATGGGAGAGCTAGAGAGACTGCAACTTTCTTGTGAGATTGGGTCTCCTAAAAATGCCAGAGAAGTGGTACAAATGAAGTTTCACCAATATGGCTGCCTAAACCAAACCCACACAATTACAACAGAAATGCTAACGTGGAAAGGGAAGCCTCTCTAGGCCTCAACCCCAGACAAAGAGTGACTGCCACTAAGAAATGCTGAGAGTGGGAGAAACAGTCTTCCCCAGGGAAGAGCACACCAATTGGCGATCTAGTACTGACTGATCAGCCCTCAAAGTATCATATACATACAAGTAACATTATATAGGTTGTACTTACGTGTGTATGTGTAATAAGAATTAAAGAAAAAGAAGCCATGAATTTGAAAAAGATCAAGGTGAGAGGTACATAGGAGGGTTGAAAAAAAGGGAAGGGAGAAATCATATAACAATATTACAATCTTAAAAAAGAAGGGCTGGAGAGATGGCTCAGCAGTTAAGAGCACTGACTGTTCTTCTAGAGATCCTGAGTTCAGTTCCCAGCAACCACATGGTGGCTCACAACCATCTGTAATGGGATCCGATGTCCTCTTCTGGTATGTCTGAAGACAGTGACAGTGTGCTCATATCAATAAATAAATACAATTAAAAAAAAGATTAACATTATTTTTAAAAAAATTAGCCAAGTGTGGTGTGGCATGCCTTTAATCCCAGCATGAGGCAAGCAGATCTCTATGACTTTGAGGCCAGTCTGCTGTGCATAGCAAGTTTCAGGACAACCAGGGCTATGTAGAGATACCCTACATCAAAACATCACACAGAAACACACAAGTCATGACTGGTTATTTGAGAAACACTCCCATGGAAACAGAACTTTCTATCTCAGAAGGGGCATCAGCAGAGCAGTAATAAGACAGGCCTCTGTTTTCAAGTGCCGCCCTATCTCCTTGAAGATATGATTTGCACTGCTTTACAGGTGAATCTCTGGGGCTGGGACTCTAGCTCTGTTTTCATTTTCATGTAGAAAGTGGCGAAGAATGCACAGTCTGTAGGAGAAACCATTTTCCTTCACCTGCAGCTGTTTTACACCATCTAGGTTCTTTCTGTTAGCGTTCTTGTCATGCTGAGATGCTTCATCATATGTCATTTGTATTTCAGGGTGTTTTTTTTTTTTTTTATCCTTTCCCTTTTGATCCATGTAGTCAATACTTTCTGCAGATAGAACCAAGATCCCAAGACTGTCTTCACACTCCTCAGCAAAGTCATAGCTGTCTGCTTGCTGAGCGGGACTCTCAGGGTCAGGTTCCCAGTGGAAGGGGAAAAAACTGACATCCACAAGTTGTGTGACACCCATTTGCACACCAGGGCACTCACGCTCACATGCCCATGCCACTGACACCTCACACACAAATAAAACAAATGTAATGCTTTTTTTTTTTTTTTTTAAATTTTAGTGATCTGTGACAGTTTTCCTTGGCCCCTCTTCTGTTCCTCTTTTTCTCAGTACTGTGGGATACTAAGATCATCTGGCTTTCCTCTCCTTCACTGGTCATCTTGGACCAATTCTTTCACTCTTAAACTTGCGTGTGCTTCCGACCCCAATCCCACAAGTCTAGTTGTGGAGGCTGGGGCTGCCCTCTTTTGTCTAGTCATACTGGGCATGTCCACCTCATTTCCCTGGTCCATCTCAGCCTTACTGACCAAACTGAATTTGCCAACCTAATCAAAAGACATGTCTTCGTTTTCCCAATCTTAGGAAATGGCACTATGGGATAGTAGTCTTCAAGTCCTTTTTTTTTCTTTTTAGGATTTATTTGCTTATTTTATGTGTCTGAGTCTTTTGCTTGCACCTTTATGTGCACCACAGGTGTGCCTCATTTGCTTTTGTTAAAAACTTTCCTTTTAGGCAGGAGGCAGAGACAGGTGGATCTCTGAGTTTGAGGCTAGCCTGGTCTACATAGTGAGTTCCAGGACAGCCAAAGTGACAAGAGAGAAATCCTATCTCTAAAAACCAAAAACCAACGGCCCCCAAACCAACCCCTCCACTCCCCCCCCATTTTCAGTAGAGGATGTCGAACACAAACTTTAGGAGACGTTAGATGGTTATTGAGAAGTGTTTGAAGCCTGAGCACTCAACAAGCCAGAACACTTTCCGAACAGTCTTCCCAGCTCCGAGGTTTAATGCTCTTCCTTGAAAGACTTTGTCTGCAGTTCGGGTGGGTGGAGCCTGTGGGAAAAAGCCAAAAATTGTGCCCTACGGCTGTGAGTGCCAGGTCAGGGCCAGTGTAAACAATTGAAAAGCAGGTCAGAGATCCAAATGGTACTGGATAGATCTAGGAAGCTAAAGCTTGAAGCCAGTTGGGTTAGTACTTTGTGTAGAACCTGTTGGGGAGAAACACGTTAGGTTTATATAGCGTGTATTTGGGATTGAAAAGACAGAGGTGCTTCCAGGAATCGAAAGTGACTTTTGGTGGTTTGAGAGATAACACCCTAAATTTGGCATATGTTTTGACAGTATCCTCAAAGACAAGCCATTCCCTCAGATACATAGATGTACGTTGGTCTGTTTCTCTGTTCTTTTTTTTTTTTTTTTTTTTTTTTTTTTTTTTGAGACAGGGTTTCTCTTTATAGCCGGGGCTGTCCTGGAACTCACTCTGTAGACCAGGCTGGCCTCGAACTCAGAAATCCGCCTGCCTCTGCCTCCCAAGTGCTGGGATTAAAGGCGTGCGTGCGCCACCACCGCCTGGCCTGTTTCTCTGTTCTAAAGGGTTCCGTTCACCATGATTACGGCTCAATAGGATTGGCTGGCACTCTCAAAACAGTTTGGTAACAGTGCCAAAGCTGTCACTACCAGGTGGTTTCCTTTCTTTTATACATTTTTCTGTGATATTTATCTCTTATTTTATATAGGGGTGTGCATGGCACCAAGAGCCACAGACAACTTGTGGGAATTTCTTCTCTTCTGGGTTCTGGGGCTTGCAGGGCTTGACAGTTAAGAGCTAATTGATCTTGTGAGGTTTTTTTTTTGAGAGTGATGTTTTTTGCCCCGCTAAGGTAAAATCGTGAATGAATTCTCCCACTGCCACTAATACAGTTGAGTTTCCCACATTTGGGGGGAATAACAGGGATCAGCACGGCTGGAGTATAATGGATAAGTTTCACCCTGCAGAAACCACCTTTGAGATTTTGCTTTCTCCCCTGCTTTATGAGAGTGACTTTTATACAGAGAAAGATTATTCAGAATTTTGTTTAAGTATATGAAAATTAATTTCAACATAGTAAAATTAAAATCATTAAAATCATTATATGCTTAAATTATAAGGTATCAATTTCTAATTTTGATTAAAACTTTTAATTGTTCAACTTTTTGTTATACACATACACACATACACACATTTGCTTTCAGTGCTGGGGATCAAACTCAAGGCCTTCTACATAACTAAAAAAAAGTATCTCTACCACCAAGTTATATCCCTAGAAGTTTTATCTTACCGTGTAGGCCTTTTGCTTGCAATCCCGCTTCAGTGCTCCAAGGAGCTGGGGTTACAGGCCTGGCTGGTGAAAAGTAAATTTTAACAACTTTAAATAAAATTTCTATTCAGTTTTTTTGGTTAATACAAGTTAATAACACTCAACTATGAGTTTGATTATGCCATTTCCAAACATGTGTATAATACACTTTGATCATATTCACGCTACTATTTTTTTTTTTTACTTTATGTTTTAGCCGGGCGGTGGTGGTGCACGCCTTTAATCCCAGCACTTGGGAGGCAGAGGCAGGCGGATCTCTGAGTTCAAGAGTTTGAGGCTAACCTGGTCTACAGAGTGAGTTCCAGGACAGCCAGGGCTACACAGAGAAACCCTGTCTCGAAAAAAACAAAAAACAAAAAACAAAACAAACCAGACTTTATGTTTTAATATGCATATAGCCCAGGCTGGCCTGAATTTGCTATGCAGCTGCATGTGACCTTGAACTTCTGATTTTCTTGCTTATGACACTTGAGTTCTTGCACCATCATGCCTGGTTTTATACGTGCTAGAGATTGAACCCAAGGCTCGTGCATGCTGGATAAGCACTCTTCCAACCGAGACATATTCCCAGCCCTACAGATTACTCTTCCTTGTTCCTTGTCTCTTCTTTGTAGAGGAATTTTAATCCAACAACACGACTGCTCTGTCAAGGGATTATATCCAAAGACTTTCTATGTGATCTGGCTAGAAGGTAGACATGCCCTGGATTTGGCTGGAAATCAGATACACTCTTGGTACACACCTTTACTCTCTAACAGTAAAGGTAAAGTTGGTTTGTAGAAGGAAGTAGGCACATTTGAAAGTGTCTAATTGAGGGGCAGACAAAGTGTGGAATCAGAGAAAGATTTGGCAGAAGAGTTAGAGATAGGATATGCCCAAAATTTGAGGCTAAGCAGAGCACTTCAGTCAGAAGTTGAGGGAAGCCAGTTTGAATCAGTCAGCTTGGAGAGAAGTTTGGGCCAGTCAGCCAGAGTTCATAAAGAATTAGAAAAGGTGAGTTTACTCAGCAGTAAGCCTTGGAGATGACAAATACAACTAATGAGTAAAAGATACAGTTGCATTCTTCTTAAATAATAATCATCATTATTACTTAATATGTTTCACTTACAAGGGAAAAAACATGATATTTTCCCCTTTGAGTCTGACACTTTTGCTTAACATGATGATCCACAGTGTTATTTATTTTTCTTAAAATTTCTATAACTGTCCTTGTTTTGTGCTGAAAAATATCTATTATGTGTATATATACACCATTTTTTCTTTATCTGGTCATCAACTGATTTGTAAGTTGTCTACTATAAATAGTGATAAATATAGGTGTATAGGTATTTCTAGTATGCTGAGTTATGATTTGTCTTAGTCAGGTTTTCTATTCCCATGCAAACTTCAAGACCAAGAAGCAAGTTGGGGAGGAAAGGGTTTATTTAGCTTACACTTTCACATTGCTGTTCATCACCAAAGGAAGTCAAGACTAGAACTCAAGCAGGTCAGGAAACAGGAACAGAGGCCATGGAGGGATGTTATTTACTGGCTTGCTTTCCCTGGCTTGCTCAGCTTGCTTTCCTAGAGAACCGGAGACTACCAGCCTAGGGGTAGCACCACCTACAATGGACACCTCCCCCCTTGATCACTAATTGAGAAAATGCCTTACAGCATTACAGAAAATGCCTGGATCTCATGGAGGTATTTCCTCAAGGGAGGCTCCTTTCACTGTGATTAACTCCAGCTTGTGTTAAGTTGACACACAAAACCAGGCAGTACATGATTCTTTTGCATTATACCAAGCATGGTAGAATCATACTGATATTTAATTTAATATCTTTTTTTTTTTTTTTTTTGAGACAGGGTCTGGAAGCTAGCCGCTTTCTGTGAGTTTGAGGCCAAACTGGTCTACAGAGTGACTTCCAGGACAGCCAGCATTAAACAGAGAAGCTCTGCCTGAAAATATCAAGAAATCAACCAACTGACCAACTAATCAAACTACTGAATCAACAAGGAGTTCTTGAAACAAATAAAACAATCTGTGATGATTTTATCAGTTAATTTATCTCTCCTGCCAGAGCATAGTGCAAGCTCCATGAAAATAAACACTGGTATTTTATTAATTAAATATATCATTTTGAAATAATTTCAAAGCAAATGGTGGTATTGTACTTCTGTAATCCCAACAACTGAGGTGTTTGAGGTTGATAGGTCATGAGCTTGAGGTTAGTCTGAGCTACATAGTTAGACCACGTTTTAAAAAATGAGAAAGATGGGCTGGAGAGAAGGCCCAGTGGTAAAGAACAACGACTGCTCTTTCAGAGGTTCTGAGTTCAATTCCCAGCAACCACCTGGTGGCTCACAACCATCTGCAATGGAGTCTGATTCCCTCTTCTTGTGTGTCTGAAGAGAGCTATAGTGAATAAATAAAATGAAAAGAAAAGAAAGAAATAAAAAAATATAAATAAAAAAGAAACTTAAAAAAAAGAAAAAAGAAAAAATGAGAAAGTTTAGGGTCATAAGAATTATGACAGTAGAAACAAATCCATGTACTTTGTTTTCAGTTTTGTATGCCACAATGAATAACACTTCTATTTATCTATTTTTATTATTTTATTTTTATTTTTTATTTATTTTATTTTATTTTATTTTTTTCGAGACAGGGTTTCTCTGTATAGCCCTGGCTGTCTTGGAACTCACTCAGTAGACCAGGCTGGCCTCAAACTCAGAAATCAGCCTGCCTCTACCTCCCAAGTGCTGGGATTAAAGGCGTGCACCATCACTGCCCGGCGAATAACACTTTTATATAATGATAAAATCTCATCAAACCCAGTGAATTACTATTGATACAATATTATGCCATTACAAGACCTTACTGGACTTGCAAACACGTGTGTATGTGCAGGTTCACGGGTGTAGTTCTAGGAACTTGTCCAATGTGAGACTCCATGTAACCACTGTTAAGGCGAACGTGGTGTTTCCTCGAGCTGCCTCTGCATACACTTTAAGGTTGTCTTAAAGTTGTTTCCATATACAGTGAATTATAATCTAATTGTCAACAGACTGCATCAGCTGAATTATATGGTATCAGGAGAGCCTCATTCATTCACAGCCTTCTTGTAAGGCACATACCAGAAATCACCCAGTGCAAATGCCTTAGACTGCTGTAAAGACATTCAAAAATAGATTCATTGTGATTTTCTCTTTTAATCCTGCCTCAAGGATCCAGGACTGTTCCATCAGTACAAACTCACCCCCTTTGCCATCTGGTTGTGAGGATTCTCTGCTCTGTCCTTTGTCCTCTCTTACCAACACCCTCACTCCTACTACATGGTGCCAACTAAGTTATTTATTGAATGTTCTTGTTTTAGACCGGATATTACTGGGGAGGGGGATTTCCTAATTAGTTTGAAGACATGAGTATTAATCTGTTTACTAGACTTAATGAAAGGATACTCGAAGGAAAGATAACCACACAATTTCATCTCATAATAGCCAATTTGCAGAAAACACACACGCGCAGTCTTCAGCTGCTACACCTCATAGCGTACACCATGGATTATTTGAATCCTATGATAGAACTTTGACTATACACAAAGCTTCAAAAACTTGAGAGGAAGCCTCAATACATCCCTCCCCTCTCTCCCCTCTCTCCCCTCTCTCCTCTCCCTCCCCTCCCTCCCCTCTCTCCCCTCTCTCCCCTCTCTCCCCTCCCTCCCCTC